GCAGGAAGAGAAGGAAGGCAACGACCATCAAGGTCTGGGAAGCACACCGAAATAGGACACCAGTCCATCTTTGCAGCACATTAGCCTTGGTGTAGAGGAGATCGAACATCATGCCAAGCTCCATCGCTACCATCTTGACCTTCCCTTCGCCCTGTCCATAGCTCCGGAAACTGTCTACCAATGTTTCCGGAATCCCGTATCCCAGCTGGAGCACAGTCCGCCCCACAAACAAACCTCGGGCAAGAAGCACGATCTGAAGAGCATACGATTCCTTGCTAGGATACACACATCACCTCGTTCAGATCGTTCTGTCCTGGTGAGTTGAACTTAACTCTCCGAGGACATTATTCCTATCGTTCTAGTGACTTCAAGGCTCGCACACTTTAGTGCCCATACCCTCTCTCCATGCTTGATAATTCCAGAAACAAACACGAACGTTGCAGGAATCAGTATACTGTAATTGCTCCTGTGGACGGATTTCCAGAAGACATAGGTTGTTGTCCTCGAGAGAGAGAAGGCGGTGATGGAATCCTGGCCACCCAAGGTGCACAAGGAGAAAAGGCACCCAGAGAAATGGCAATCATCAGGCAATGTGTCCCCAAGTGACTCCCTTCCAATCTTGCTGTATCTGTCCTCATACTGAGCGAAGAGGCCAAGGGCGTAAACAGCAACCAAGTCTGGCCCGGATCGGAACACAAGTGTACTGCTCACCGTCCTGGCGCTCCTGGTCCGGGACGCCACCAGCGCTGGCACCGCTCGGCACTCGCCGCGGCCACGGTGGCCGCCATGGCTGCGCGACATGGTAGTGTCATCACGCTGTCCGGCGTCAGCCCAGACGCGCCTCCATTCGTCGGCTCCCCTGCCTTGGCCAGTTCCGGTCATAGTGAGGGCGGGAGGCTTTGCTTCAGCGACTCTGAAACATGCTCGGATGAGTTGGAGTTGCCCTCTCCGGTGGGCAAGGGGAAGGCCATCAGCGGCCACCGTCGTCATCGACGTCGCCGACCTGGTCGTGCAACGCCGGGTGGACTCATGGCTAACGCACGTCGTGCTACCCCAGTGGAGGCGCAGTCGCATAACGCATGGCATCCTTGGTGGCTAGCTAATGCATGCACGTTGCGTTACCCCAGGGCTGTTAAGAGGTATGCATCTTTTTAATGAATTTATTAGAGTAGGCGAGGATTTATTGAGTGTCTCCAAATAATCTGTCCATCTCTGAAAATGATGAGGTATTTTTTTTAGGGCAAAAACTGTGGGGGAGATCCCCACAGCACATCATTTTATAAATTTTATAAAGTTACAAAGGAGGCACTTACAAAAGTCTTAACTGTATATCATAATTGTATTTTAGAAGACTAGGATACTATTTGCTCTCCTCTGAAAATAAAAATAAGTTGTCTCCTAAAATAATTAATATTTAATCCTTCTGTCCTCAAATATAATATATCATATGAATTTTCAGAGATATTATGATGTAAAACAAAAACCCTCCCTTAGATATATTATGATTACCATATTCGGATCGGTGATCATAGACACTAATGGTAGATATGCACATAAATGTTGCCCTTTAAACTGAGTTGAGGTTACTTCACCTAGACTCTTTTAATTTAAAATAAATTTTGAATGCTTGAATACCTTATATTTCTAGATGCAGATAGTACTATATTGATCTCGACAGATGGTGGTGCCCCAACATGCATAATTGTATGTGTTTTCCTAGTCTAATTAGGCGTGTTCATGTCATTCAGACGCTAGACCTTATTATGGGCGGTCTAGGCCAACACGTCTACGTAACACGGCTCCTATAGCTAATAGCCTCATCACCTAGTAATTTTCTTAGGCTTTAGGGATGCAAGAATCCGACTGATAGGTCATGGGTAGGGTTCACTTGTCTACTCTATATGTGTGGTCGCAGGATGTGGTGTTAGGTCTTCCGCGGTGTGAGAGTGATGCCACAAAGGTCCGTTCAGCTGGCTGAAATTTGGCTGAAATTAGCTGGTTATGTGAAAGAGAAACACTGTTGTCTGATTTGATGAACAGTGTAATGAGAGGGAACCAGCCGGCTAAACTTTTCAGTTCAGACCAAGCGAACTGAGCGAAAATATATATGGGCCCCCCACACGCAGGACTGAGCACCGATGCCCAAAGAGCTGCAGTGAACTAAAAAATCTAGCACCGAAGCTATCTATGTTTGAGGGTCCATGGTATAATAAAATATCGCTTTCTCTCATGTCTGCTGGTTTTGTGCTACAGTAGAGATAGTGTCGTGGGCATGGGGGTGCATGTTGCATATATAGTGTTTAAATTTTATGTCTCCTCTTTGGTATCTGTAACGCCCCCAATGGTGCTACAGTAGAGATATAGTGTTAAAATTTTATAGCTCGGATCCACTCTGCACGCTAAACTACACTTACGTTTTCGTCCTCGCTTCGCGTAAAAGGATTAAACCGGGAATGGTGGGATGGACTTTATAAGCCTGGTATGTTGGTCTAATCCATCTTTAACAACCAAGATGTAACTAAACCCTTATAGTATCTCATAACATGCACATGGCCTACTATAGGTCAAATATCAAACTGGACCGGAGATGACAGCAGCACTCAAGCACACATTGTGGAGGGCCTTAGTCTGCGGTCAATGGTCAGACGAACCAATGGTTGTTATACTAGTAAGTACTATATTGATCTCGACAAGATGGTGCCCCACCATGTCCAGTCGTGTTTGCCTATTCTAATTAGGCGCGTTCATATGATCTAGACGCTAGACCTTACGTACGGTCGTCGGCCTAGGTCGACAACACGTCTACGCAACACTGGGGTCCTAGTAGCCACACGTAATAATTTTCTCAGGCATCGGGGATGCATGAAACTGATTGATAGATATATCATGGGTGCGATTGACTAGTCTACTCTATGAGTGGTTTTTGCGCGGGGTGCCGTGTTGGTCTGGTCAACGGTGACGAACCCGTCAGCGTTGGAGGGTATTTGGAGTGATTCGGACAACTAATATAATGGTGACAAATCCGTCAGTGTTTTTTTTTATGGAACCAAATCCGTCAGTGTTGAGGGGTATGCATAGTGATTCAGACAACCGTTGCCTGTAGAATTATTCCATGGTAGTCATAAACAATATAGTAGACAAATCATTATACAAAGGCCTTATACAAAATGTCTACAAGTAATTTAAATACTATCCATTTCAATTGTTAAATGACATGAAGCCATACATATAATAGACGACGATACATCGGAAACTCTTGTCTATATACAAGATCTTGCTCACGCTCCCTGACCATCCATTAATTACTAGACCGCATCTTTCCCTGTCTAATATTATATTTCCCACATTTCCTACATGTCAGTCGCCTGAGATCCAGGCGACGCCCCACATGTCCGCGCCCGCACTACCCTGGCCACCCCGTGCCACGCCCATGCCCCACCGGAGGCGAAGATGATGGCGGCGGCCTTCCTCTCCGGCCTCTCCCCCTATTTCTTTTCCAACTCCAGCGGGTATAGAAGAGGATTTGGAGGGAGGTAAGTGTTGGGTCACGTGGACAGCTACTCGCTAGCACAAAATAAATACCACGTAAAAACAGGATCACTTGCTCGTAGATGATCATAGATTATACATCTCAACGCGCGGCGCAGCGGAAGACTTGGCGGAACGCGCGTAGTCGATGTAGTCGACGTCAAGAAAGGAGTCGTATGGCTTGACGTAGTGCGCAACACAGCGGCACCTCTACGAACGTCCACACGTGCGGAGAGGAGAACGGCAGCGACGTAGCGTGCTAGCGCTCGATGGCACTGCAGGACTGCAGGTGAACTCGTGCTTAATGCACCCTACCTTTGGCCGGCTATTGCTAAATGCGGCACAGGAGCAGCACAATGGCGGCAGCGGCGTGTATGCGTGCTTAGCTAGGTTAATGACCCTCTGGCCGGTAATTAGCTTTTATAAGCACACTACTGGATTCATTCAGGTTCTTTGCCGAGTGTCTGAAGCACTCGGCAAAGGCTAAATTACACTCGGCAAAGCCTTTGCCGAGTGCGACACTCGACAAAGAACACATGGCAAAAAATTGATCGGCAAAGCTCTCTTTGTCGAGTGTCTTATACCGGGCACTCGGCATGTCTCGGGGACACTCGGCAAAGAAAAGCGACCGTCACGGCGCCGGTCCCGTTGACGGTCACTTTGCCAAGTGCCAACCCTTCAGACACTCGGCAAAGATTTTTTTATTTTTTTAAAAAAAACTTCTTTGCCAAGTGCCGACCCTGCAGGCACTCGGCAAAGATTTTTTATTTTTTTTTAAAAAATTTCTTTGCCGAATGCCAACCCTACAGACACTCGGCAAAGAGTTTTTTTTTTTTTTTACAAAATTTCTTTGCCGAGTGCTAGACCTTCGGGCACTCGGCAATTTTTTTTAATTTCTTTGCCGAGTGCCCTCTGGCCGGCACTCGGCAAAGTTTGAATTTTTTTAAAATTTCTTTGCCGAGTGCTTCCCTGCCCGGCACTCGGCAAAGTTTGAATTTTTTTTTAAAAAAATTCTTTGCCGAGTGTCATGGTCACAGCACTCGGCAAAATTTTTTTTTATTTTTTTAAATTTCTTTGCCGAGTGCCCTCTGGCCGGCACTCGGCAAAGTTTGAATTTTTTTTTTAAAAAAATTCTTTGTCGAGTGCCCTCTGTCCGGCACTCGGCGAAGTTTGAATTTTTTTAAAAAAAAATCTTTGCTGAATGCTGTGACCATTACACTCGGGAAAGTGACCCAAAACGGCAATTTTTTATTTTTTATTTACATTCCATCATGACAAATAAATTCATACAAACATATATCATATATATATCTTATCCATCCACACATCCATCTCTCTCTCTCTCTTTCCGTATCAACAATTTGACTGCCACTCGAACCAAAACCATCTCTCTCTCTCTCTCTCTTTCCGTATCTCAAGCATTTCGCGTACTGATCCACACTCGATACCCCAAGGCGACCTCAAATCTCTAGTTAAATAAGCTCAACCATGTCGCTGATCCACACGACTAAAAACGAAGTCCAGATCAGCGCAGAGCAGAACGGGGCCGATCTGGACCCTGGAGGTACGGAGAGGTGTCCCACTCTCACCTGAGCAGCAAGTGGCCCGGTGGAGGCGAGCTCGTCGCGAACAAGGTCCCCCGTCGCGATGTGGGGCACGCCGAGGAGGCGCGACAGGACGCCCGGGCAGCCCAGGAACACCCACTGCACGTACAAATAGTAGAATCAACTCTATCAAAGATACGGAGGGACATGCAAGAGACGGAACAAAATCACTTGCCAAGGAAGAGCCTTACTTTTGGGGATAAGTGTATGTTGGATATGAGGTCTTTGGTATGTTTACAATATCAGAGACTCTTATTGCTGGTGAACTGCAGAGGTATCGTCCAGATGCCTGCGGATTTTCGTAAGCCAACAGAAGGGCATCAGCGACATCACGAACATCCACTAGATTCTTGGGTCCATTATTGACTGCCGCCTGATCTCCTGCCCAAGAACAGCATTTACATTCAAAGACGGAATGCTTGACTCCTAAGTCCTAACCATACACTAAATGAAGATGCTTGATCTTAAAAAACGATAGGATTGCTTGATATGCTTCATTGGTTTCTATTGGAAACAAACAGAAAGATAAATTAGTATGTTTTCCCTGTGTGCACTCCAGCAAATAGAACATCTATATGCTCTGTAATGGTAGCTTTAGTGTGGACTCATTTTCCTTTTGTCCCCATCCTAGGATGCCAATAAATCTTGGAACTCCTTAGATAAAAAGAATGTATCTTTGTATTTTAATTGAAAGGAAATGATTCTACCTTGTATCTCATATATAAGAACAAAAAGGAGAAACTATGCATTATACTCCCTCCATCTCAAATTAAATCAACTTCTAGAATTGTCCTAAGTCAAACTATTTTAAGTTTGACCAACTTCATAGAATATAATACCAATATTTATAACACCAAATTAGTATCATTAGATACACTATGAAATATATTTTCGTAATATACTTATTTGGTGTCATGTATGTTATTAGCCTTTGTTATAAAATTGGTCAAATTTAAGATAGTTTGACTTGGGGCGATTTTAGGAATTGATTTATTTTGAGACCGAGATAGTATTACACTACTCAATGCAAATAAAAAAAAATACTAAATAGTAAAAAAACTGAATGTTATCCACCTTTGATATAACTGAAGAAGATTTTAACACTTTTATTTACTGTAGGTTGCAACAAAGGTCCAATTACCAATGATGGGCAAACAGTAACAATGTCTAGCCCAGTTTTTGCTGCATAAGCAAAAGCCTCATGTTCTGCCAGTGTTTTAGAAAGGAAATACCATTCCTACAAGAACAAAAACTAAGATGAATTAATACGAGTAGATTCAGACATGACTATTACCTGCTCCATGGAAACAGTAGCCCATAAGGTTGAATGAAGAATATTACATTATCGAAATGTTAAACCAAACAATGACGGCAGCTTCATTTTTTCAGAAAAGATCCAAATGGAAAACTAGAGATAGAATGCATGAAGGAAAATCGCCTCTGAAAGTTTGAATCAAGGCCATAGACCATAGTTACAGCGCCCGGCAGTAAGGAGTAAGGACAAAGGGCATAATCGTGGATGATCCTGATCCTGTAAGTAATACTAAATTTGTTGGATAGTACTCCGTAGTAGATTTTAAGTTTCCTTGCAAAACGTGAATTGACACAGGACAGCTCTGTCGGTATTTTTTCAACTCATTGTGTTGCTCAGACAGTCATACCTAAAGATAAAACATTCTCCAACTCATTGTCCACATAAAGCATTGACAACTGAAACAACGCAGTTTTACTTTACTTAATCGATTTACTATGATACCTCATTTTTTCTGCAGTAGTCCCCATCTGACCAGCTATCCTCAGTAAAGGCCGCCCTTAGGCCAGTTAAGATTATTGAACACAGCAGCCACTGAAGATACCACAACAACTCTCTTCACTTTTGCCTTGTAGCAAGCTTTCAACACATTCAGTGTGCCAATTACAGCAGGAGCTATGATATCTACCTGCAAAAAATTACTGTGGTAAAATGTACTGCAATAAAGGAACAGAAGTATATAACATCATAAGCACTGTTTGTAATTGGAGGAACCAAAAAGCTGATAAGTATCATGAGCCTATAAATAGACGATCAGGGTTCAGCAATGTTGCAAGTTTTAAAAGAAGAAAACCAGATGATGTCTTATGTTGCAGTGCTACATATGGAATGGAATTAAACTGGGAATTTCACTCTCGTGCTGGCAGTGACAGCCAATGAACCGAGCAGGTTTCCTAGAACTTTTACCTCATTTAACAGACTAGTAAAAAGAAAATCATTGAGAAAATCCAATCCATGAGGTCATCTAAGCTTTCCAGAAGCATAGACTAATAGGTAGATATCATCAACAGCGCCCTTTTTCCATCCTACTTATCCCTTTTTTGTTCTAAAAGGGAACAAAACTAGCTATACATATAGCCCATTCTACAACCTGAAAAATTCAGAAAAAAGCAATGCAAGGACCAAACTTTTTTTGAGCAAAATCACCTCAGGGTTGGAGGATTTGCCGGAGGGGACAGGGCTGGCAACATGGAAGACACCCTCACAGCCAGCGACCGCGGACACAACGCTTCCATAGTCCAGCATGTCAGCCTTGACCAACCGCAACCACTCGCCGGGCAGCCCAGGAACGCCCACTGCACGTTCCTCTCCGCCATCGGCCGCTGCCTGACCCTCTCCTCCGCCGCGAACGAGAACCCGGCGGCCGCAGACGGCGCCTGCTCCGTCGCCAGCGACGCCATGCGTCTCCTGGCCACCGCCGCCATCGCCGAACCACCGGAGGCGGCTGCCCGAAGGAGTCGCTGCACGGCCGCCATGGGATGCAGCGCGGGCAGGGGCGGCGGCGCTGGCGCGGGCGCGGGCGGCGCGTGCGGCGGTGGCGGCGCTGCCACGGGCGCGGGCGAGCGGGCGGCGCGGGCCGGCGCGCGGCGCGGAGGCGGGGGCTGGCTGGCTGTCTGTTTGACTGCCCGGCTGGCCGAAAACGCCTAAGTACCGGAACCGCCCTTTGCCGAGTGCCGCGTCAGGGAGGCACTCGGCAAAGATTAAATTTTTAAAAAAATTCTTCGTCGAGTGTTTCAGATCTAACACTCGGTAAAGATTTAATTTTTTTTAAAATTTTTTGTCGAGTGTCTCAGATCTGGCACTCTGGCAAATTTTTTTGAAGAATACTTTGTCGAGTGCCGCTGGCACAGCACTCGGCAAAGATTTAATTTTTTTTTAAAATTTTTTTGCCGAGTGCTCCTGTGGAGGCACTCGACAAGGAGGAAAATTTTAAAAAAAATTCAAATCCCTCTTTGCTGAGTGCCTTATTTTTGGCACTCGGCAAAGACTCTTTCACCGAGTGCCATACCCCGACATTCGGCAAAGTTTTTTTGTTTTTTTTTATTTTGGCCTCGAATTTTTTTGTGCAGCCCTTTTAAAGCACCGGGAACTCCTAGTTACAATTTGGGGATTTTTTATGACATTTTTTATATATTTAATTACTTTATTTCGTTTACTTGAATTTTTTTGAAAAATAGAAATTTGAACTGCACGTGGTACGAATAATGGAATTTAATGATTCAAAAATTGATAGTCATGTTAGTGAGTATTGTGAGAGGCCGTATCCAGGAACGGATCCAAAATTTCGGACATCTTGTTCACGAAACATGTCCGCGAAATTGCGTGCGAAGTGTTTTTAAATTATATAAAAAACAAACGAAGTCCGAAAATCATGAAACTAATTGAGATGTCGTGATATCATATGTGGAGGCTATGATAAAAATTTCAGAAGATTTCGTGTACGTTGTCACGTACGATGCTTACAAACCAGGACATCTTTAAATGTGATATCACGTGTAGAGATGTCCTGGTTTGTAAGTATCGTACATGACAACATGCACGAAATCTTCTGAAATTTTTATCATAACCTCCACATATGATATCACGACATCTCAACTAGTTTCATGATTTTCGGACTTCGTTTGCTTTTACAGAATTTAAAAACACTTCGCATGCAATTTCGCGGACATGTTTCATGAACAAGATGTCCAAAATTTCGGGTCCGTTCCTGGATACGGCCTCTCACAACACTCACTAACATGACTATCAATTTTTGAATCATTAAATTCTATTATTTGTACCACGTGCAGTTCAAATTTCTATTTTTCAAAAAAATTCAAGTAAACGAAATAAAGTAACTAAATATATAAAAAATACCACAAAAATCTCCAAATTGTAACTAGGAGTTCCTGATGCTTTAAAAGGGCTGCACAAAAAAATTCGAGGCCAAAAACAAAAAAAACTTTGCCGAGTGCCGGGGTATGGCACTCGGCAAAGGGGTCTTTGCCGAGTGCCAAAAATAAGGCACTCGGCAAAGAGGGTTTTGAATTTTTTTTTAAAAAATTTCCTCTTTGTCGAGTGCCTCCACAGGAGCACTCGGCAAAGAAATTAAAAAAAAATAAATCTTTGCCGAGTGCCGTGTTAGGGGCACTCGACAAAGTATTTTTAAAAAATCTTTGCCGAGTGCCAGATCTGAGACACTCGGCAAAGAAATTTCAAAGAAAAAAAATTAAATCTTTGCCGAGTGCCAGATCTGGGACACTCGGCAAAGAAAATTTTTAATTTTTTTAAAATCTTTGCCGAGTGCCTAACAGCAGGCACTCGACAAAGAAGACCGTGACCGAACACCTTTACGCGGGTAGCCTATGCCGAGTGTAGAGATTTTGCCGAGAGTCTGGCACTCGGCAAAGAAGTCCTTTGCCGAGTGCCCTTTTTTGCCGAGTGCAGCACTCGGTAAAGAAGGTCTTTGCCGAGTGCCTGATTTTTGACACTCAGCAAAGAATTTTGCACTCGGCAAAGTCTCTGTTTTCAGTAGTGACGTTCACAGGCCAGCCGCATGGGCCATGTTGGGTTCGTGGGCCTAAACTGAATTGCTCTTGGGCATTAACTAGCAATCTCCCACTTGCCCTATAGACAATTAGTATGGCCTCCTTGCAATGTCACGGACTCAATCCAATTGATCCATTTTGTCCCTCTTAGTTCTTCTCTCCTTAAGTTGTGACCCCGTAGGTTCATGCAACCAACGGTCATGATGCGGAAACCATTTCTGCTCAATAGTTAGCATTGGCCTCTAGCATGGCATACTAACTCTTGAAGATTCATGAAGATCATATCTTGCACAACCTTTTAACACTTTCCATTTCTATGTCCTTCCGCCACATGACACCTAGCCAAGTACAAGGCGAGTGAAGTGCTACCCTTGATTCTCGGCCATTTCTCGCTCCGTGCAGAACTTATTTTATCGACTAACCATTAGTCAAGGCATGGCCATGCACTTTCAGTTCCTACACATCGAGAGGGCCCGGAGGAGTCTCTCCTTGTTATAGGAGGGGCAGATCCCATCTTGACTCGACGCACCCTGCAACTTGCTTCAGATCATACCCAAAAGCTACTTTTATGACTACCCAGTTACGGAGTAGTGTTTGGAAGCCCCAAAGTATAACTTACACAATCAGGGACTCTACGTCAATCTCAGGTCAGAGGACGTTAATATGTGTGTCATTTGTGAGACAAACCGATAGCACATATTCACGGTGTCTCATAGTGGGTCGATCCGACATTGTGTTCCCAACACATATCTACATTGTTGGTGCAATATCCAATATCGCTATGACCCGTGAAACGTGATCATCCACCCAACACATGTACCAACTTATCTCTACGTCACAGTCCCACATGACGGATAGAAGTTGGGGATCTCATTTAGTACATCTTCAATTTAAATCATGGAGTTTCACCAACGAATCACACATTCGTTAATCACATATAATGAAAAACATCATGGAACATCTCTCTGAAACATGCAAATTACAAATGTTGACATGATGTCATCATCCTATGACAACCGTTAAGGTATACATCATTATAAGCCTCCCACTCACATTAGAGTTAACCATGCCAGCATCTTATGCCCATCGCTCTTATGTGTGTCTCATTCTTTGCTTGTGGTAGCGGCTTGGTCAATGGATCTGCCATGTTCAGGTCAGTGTGCACCTTGCATATCTTCACATCTCCTCGATTAATAATCTCTCGGATCAGGTGATAGTGCCGTAGTATATGCTTGGATTTTTGGTGCGACCTAGGCTCCTTTCCTTATGCAATAGCACCATTATTGTCACAATAGAGGTCTATCGGCCTAGAGCAGCTAGGGACCACACCCAACTCAGAAACAAATTTTCTGATCCATACAGCTTCCTTTGCAGCTTCCAAAGCCGCAATATACTCGGCTTTCGTTGTTGAATCTACGACCATCTCTTGCTTGGAACTTTTCCAACTCACTGCCCCACCATTGAGGCAAATGGCATATCCTGACTGTGATTGGCTATCATCCTTGTCGGTTTGGAAGCTAGCATCAGTGTAACCATTTACAACGAGATCTTCCAAACCTCCATAGACTAGGAACTGATCCTTAGTTCTTCATAAGTACTTAAAGATATTTTTAACTGCTACCTAGTGAGCATCACCTGGGTTTGATTGGTACCTGCTCGTAACACTTAGAGCATATGAAACATCTAGGCGCGTGCATATCATGGCGTACATAATAGAGCCAATAGCCGAAGCATAAGGCACTCTACTCATCCTTTCTTGCTCATCAAGCATTGAGGCACACTGAGTATCGCTCAAGGTTACACCATGTGACATAGGTATGAATCCCCTTTCAGACTCATTCATATTGAACCTATTCAACAACTTGTCAATGTACGTGCTTTGACTTAATCCAATTAAGTGCTTAGACCTATCTCTATAGATCTTTATACCCAAAATGTAGGATGCTTCTCCAAGGTCCTTCATAGAGAAACTCTTTCTCAACGAGGCCTTAACATCCTCTGTTAGTGGAATATTATTCCCGATTAGTAGTATGTCATCCACATACAAGACCAGAAAAACAAGTGCGCTCCCACTAACTTTCTTGTAAACACATGGTTCTTCTTCATTTTCGAGAAGCCAAACGATTTAACTTCCTCATCAAAACGAAGATTCTAGCTCCGGGAATCTTGCTTTAGCCCATATATAGAGTTCATGAGTCTACAAACTTTTCTAGCATTTTGTTGGTCGACAAAACCTTCATGTTGTGTCATGTACACATCCTCACTTAGGTTTCCATTAAGGAAAGCCATTTTGACGTCCATTTGCCAAATCTCAGTCATAATACGTGGCAATTGCTAGAAGGATTCGGATAGACTTTAGCATAGCGACAGGCGAAAATGTTTCATCATAATCAACACATTGAATTTAACGAAAACCTTTTGCTACCAGTCTTGCTTTATAGATGTGAACATTTCTATCAGCGTCTATCTTTTTCTTGAAAATCCATTTACACTCAATGGCCCACACGCCATCGGGTGGATCAACCAGGTGAAAGCTCTAGCTTGGTTTTGGTGAATTGATGAAACCCTAAGTGCTAACCTAGTTTATCAAGTGATCATGAGATAGGTAGCACATTCCAAGTGGTGAAGCAAATGAAGATCATGACATGATGATGGTAATGCCATGGTGATGATCAAGTGCTTGGAATTGAAAAGAAGAAAGAGAAAAATAAAAGGCTCAAGGCAAAGGTATAAATTGTAGGAGCCATTTTGTTTTAGTGATCAAGATACTTAGAGAGTGTGATCACATTTAGGTTTGATAGCCATACTATTAAGAAGGGTGAAACTTGTATCGAAATGCGGTTATCAAAGTGCCACTAGATGCTCTAACTCATTGCATATGCATTTAGGATCTAGTGGAATGCTAACACCCTTGAAAATGTTTGTGAAAATATGCTAACACATGTGCA